CTTGGCTGCCAAACATGATCATGATGTCTGCCTCGCCGCTGTATATCTGGGTGAAGGTGAGAGGGGTCACATCACTCCACACTTGGAATGCTCGCCTGAAGGCGTCATCGATCACAGCACGGTCCAGATCAGGGGAGTAGTTAATCACCCTGCCGGGAAGGCACAGGGTCAGCACTGCCAGGTCCCCTCCTGATGCAGGAATGACCCTGCTCTAGGCAGAGACATGCCCCCACCCGGGGAGGGGATAGTAGCACTGGCATTGCTGGGCAGAGGAGACACCACCACCCTTGGGCCAGGGCTCAGATGCTCTCTCGGGTGCCAGGGAGCAGATGCTGCTGTCGTGCCAGCTTGGCCCTAGCAGCACTGAGCCTCAGCTGTGCCAGCAGCGCCAAGCCCAGCCGAGGGCTGAGCAGAGGCTGCTGGCTGCCTGGGCCCTCAGGCTGTCTCCATCCCCCTGGGACCATCGGCCTGGGGCCACGACGGTTCATCTCCAGGGCAGACTCACCGGTAGGTCAGGTCCATGTGGTCCCACTTGATGTCCCCCTGAAAGGTGAGGAAGGTTCCCACGTCAGGGACACCGCATCGGGGGGCTCGCATGGCCTCTAGTGTGGTGGCATCCAGCTCCCCTGTCTCCTCCAGGCCCAGCTGCTTCTGCATCTTGCGCAGTGCCTTGCCCAGGGACACGAGCCTGCTGCCCGTCTTCGCCTCCCCCTCCGTGGTGTAGCCAAACCGCAGCAGGTAGCGCTGAGGAGGAAAGGCAACCAGAGGGGTGAGCAAGGTAGGAGGTGGCTCCAGCAGACCTGGGCACCCAACCCATCCTGGGCACCTCCCAGAGACCGACAGTCCTTGGGCTCTGCCTGCAGCCCCTCGCTGCCACCCTGTGAGCCCCTTAGGGTCCTGGGTGCTGGGAGGGGACCACGGGGCCATACTCCCCTCACCTCTGCCAGCTGCAGATCCGTCAGGGTGCTGCTGGTCAGATCCCCTGGGAAGGTGACAAACGCCTGTGGCTTGCCCTGGAGAGGGGCCGCATGGCAGGAGACAGCCAGCAGCCCCACAGCAAGTGGGGCTAGGAGGAAGAGTGCCATAGTGCAGTGATGGCAGGAGGTCTGGGGCTGTGCCGGGTCCCTGCTGCTCTGCTCTGGGTGCTGCCAGGCTCCCGACACTCCTATTTATGGGGCGGGAGGGCAGTGAGTCACCCTCAGTACCCCTCAGCGCCGACTCACGCTCTCTTCTCCCTTCCCACGGTGACGAAATGCACACTCAGGCTCCTCCGATTGCTGCCTTAACTGTTTCATCACCTTGTTTACTAAACACACTGCATCCTGCAGCCACGCAGGAACAGGAAAGAGGGAGAGTGGCTTTTTTTTTTT